CCATTGTATGAGGGGTATTCTGCATATTTACCACATATATAATACTGTATATATTAGCCATTGGCCCTCAGGATATACAAGTTGCATATCCCCGCAGAAAAAAAATACGAGTTGCATATTTCCTAACGGTTTCAATGGTTGAAGGTTGTGAACCAACCGGTCTGAAGAGTTCAGGGTTGAAAAGTAGAATTCTTCCGATAAAAAAAGGGGAGCAAACAGTGTAGCAAATAGACCTTCTGGAAAAGCACCCAAGCATACAGGGCATCATGCAACTTTTGGGTAATGCCCAATATAGGCCAGGTCAGCTTCATTGTTTCAAGTATTTCATCAGCCTCCTGGTAGCAAACAGAATAACACCGTCAGGAACTCAAGATGCAACCTTTGACTTAATGCCACATGTCATTCAAGAACAATTCTGGTACATATGCAATAAAGTGAGTTTTCTAAGCATACCAAAAAGAAAAACAAACCTCTACAAGTTGCCCATCTTCAAGAATATCGAAGACACTGGAGAGTAGCTTCTCATATAGCCTAGAATTAAAATGATAGCTCTGAGTCCAATGGTAGGTTTCGCCTTTAAGGCCGAACTTCTTTGAAGCTGTAGATAGTCTTGTGTTGTATCTTTCAATGATAGTCAAGACCTCAATACGCCCATCAGGAACACTCACGACCCAGTCCTGGAATAGTTTATGATGCAAATATAGACGCAACTCAGTATTGAGACCGAGGGCAACTTGAAGAGAAAGATTAAATAATTGATGTGGCTTATGAGACACTAGTAATATTAATGATTAATCAATACAAAATGATGTAAGATATGGATAATGGTACTTGCCTCTGTATTTTTTAGCTTGGAGAGAACTATCCGCAATGTTTCACTCATGTTGCACTCATGAGATGCTGAGAACAGAAGTAATTCTTCTAGAACATTTACCTGGAGAGAAGAATTGTGAATAATAGTTTGAACAAGCATCCATGCTGTAGAGAGAAACAACTAAAGATTCTTGCCTGTCTTCTTTGCCATTGTACACGCAATCTTTCTGTTGGGAAATCAAATTTGCCAACAGAGCTTAATAGTTGTAGTGCTATGCAAGGCACGTCAAGTTGTCCCTGCACCATCTTCGAACCAATACGTCTTAAAGCTCTCTTAGCCAATGTATCCATAGATTCTGATATCTGAAATAATGTGTTCTTATAGTGAGTTCTATCCACACTAACCCCTTGTATTATAATCAGGGAAACAGAATAAAAAGAAGTTCAAAACCACCAAGAACCAAAAAGAATGAACTTCTCCTAGCTAGAACTTTCTGTCCTTGGGTCAGCATAGGAAAATTTAGAGTCCCAAAAAAAGAAGAAAATGGTATTTTAATGGGCAGATAAAAGGGAAAACAAATACAAATAGAGTCCTTTGATAGTCTAAGCTTCCTCAGATCATTATGCAGTATGCATACTTCCAGTATGCACACATGGAATGAAGGGAGACCACATGAGTTTGGCAACATGTGAACCTTGCTATCATTGCCAAGTATTTTAAAAGCAAATCACAAAAGTTATTTTAGTTAAACTAACAAAAAGATGGGACAATACAGAAATTGGTGAAGGACCTTGCCTCCATTTGTACTCGGATCAAATCAAGATGGTGGGTATAATAATTTTCCATCTGAGGTACTGAATTAGATCCTTCAGTCTTCGACCTCAAACCCTTCAAGAATTTAGGCTTCTTTTCTCTCTTCTCTTCAGCGAAGTACATTTTTCCACTGTTGGTTACATATCATTAAGGAAGAGATCACAACAATGAGTTAATGGTGTAAATATGAATATGGACATCGAGTCGGGTTTATGTGTGAATTACCTGACAAATAGAGAAGCGAGAAGGACCTCATAAGCTGTTTCTCTTAGATCATCATCAGACAATTCTTAAAGGTCGAATACAGAGTACATAATTAGTTCAAGAATACAAATTAGGAAACCCTACTTGCCCTTTGTAAAAAGAGGGGGGAGCCAAGCACAGCACAAATGAAGCATGGACATTTGTCTACCTGCATTTAATCTAGGTAAACCTAGAGAAAGAAGATCCATTTCTTTGGCTTGCCGAGGAGACGTATTTGCCAGACTAAGATCCTTCAGAACATAGGATGCTCCCTGAATGTTAACTGCTACTTTAAAAGAATCACTATGTTTCCTTGCTCTACTTGAGTTCTCTTCTGCAGGTGGTTCGGGTCCAATGTCCGGTGCTACTTTCTTTGGAGGAGAACCAGAGCCTTCTGGCCTTGAAAGAAGAAAATATGAGTTCCCTGATGGCGAGCTCGTCTGTTGAATGGAAAATTCTTAACAATTGCAGAAAAATTGCAAGCAGTTGTTCATGGATCATTAAACTGTTATTTAACTTCTAGCATTTAATTTCTGTTGATATAACACTATTCATTGATTGACCAGGAGCAATTATCTAACGAAACAAGGTGCCAGATCAAACTTGGGAGCTGAAATGGATGGGAAATTTCGAGCGGGCAGCTGAGACATACCATGATCGGGTACCTCCTGTCGTCAAAGTACCTCCTGGTGGCCTCCGAAGCGTCAAACTGCGCGCCTGATATATCAACAAAAACACACGCGCGCAGCCGACAGTTAGCCCAATTCAATTTTCAGAATAAACGCTCCACCCGCGCCGCACACACACGGCCGGGTACGGAGGGGGGAGAGGCCGCCTTACCGGAGGCGACGCAGTCGAGAGCGTAGTCGGCGCTGACGGCGTCGAGATCGACGCGGGAGAGGTCGACGGCGCGGCCGCCGGCGGAGGAGAGGAGGAAGCCCAGGAGGCGGCGCCGGTCGCGGCGGTACGCCTCCAGGAGCGACGCCGCCGAGTCCATGGCCGCGCGCAGAACCTCTCGAGGGTTTCGGGGGGCGCGGAGGAGAGGAGGAGGGAGCGGGGCGGGGCGGAAAGCTGCGCGGTGCGGGTGCGAGTGCGGAGTGCAGAGAGAAAGCAGCTGTGGGAGAAAAATAACGGAGGAATGGGGGGAGGGGTTTGGTCCGACCGGCGTGGGGAACAAACGAGGCCGCACGCAATCGCGTGAGCAGAAACCGTCAAACGGTAACGACGATGGGCAGCCGCCCTGTTCGGCCCTCGGCAGTGAAGGGAGCACTCGAGACGGAAGACTAGTAGCGAGAGCGACCGGCGTACCGGGTACGGCCGTACCCGGCTCCTTTTGAATATTTTCCCTGCGGCAGTTCCTCTCAAATTTTGACGTTCTCTCCTAAAGTATAATGATCTAAATGAATTCATATATCTGGTCATCGATGGTAGGTCTCCTGCTCATCTGGTGAAGTTTCGGGCTCCTAAATCGCGCCCGATGTGCAGGTGTCGTCTGTCCACAAAGGAGGTGATTTCTCGAAAAGAAGAGAAATTTGCGGGGAGGTGATTTGAAATTCCTGAATCATCTGGCGGCCTGGGTGGATATATTCAATACTGCCGGATCACAGACCAGCAGACAACCGTGGGTCCTCCATTATGTGAGATTCCAGAACGGCTACATTTCGAATATTTCCCCTTTTTACTGAACACTCGACCAATCGAGCCACTGCTTTTTCCCGATGTGATGGTTTACTGAAGCGAAATTGCACCAGTACTACGAACAGTCCTCCCTTCCATGGCAACCAGCTCAGTAAAATGCTTTGAAAAATTATAAGATACAAGAGTACCAGTCAAGAAAAGCGATGCTGGAGGAGAACCGCATATAAGTTACCACACGAGATGCATCATTGAGCAAACCAATTTACAGCCCGGAATTATATCCCTGGCCTCTTTCATCAGCTGTAAAAAATCAACCAAGAATTTTGCAAGCCCGATTTGACACAAACAGGTAGGGGGATATAGTATGAATCGCTCAAACATAATTATACAGCCCACTGGGTAACTAAGCATATAGTCCGAACTGCAGAGATACACCCCAGAACTAATTCTGTAATATGGACAGCACTTTAGTCACCTTTAAGACATGACATGGTTGACACTATCAGCACATTTGGGATACAAAAATTTACACCACATTAGCGAGGACTCAGGCGTGAGGTTGGAACCGATGGCATTCTCAAGTTGGATACATTTATACTTCCTCGCTTCCGCTGCTGCTGCCGCCCTTCCGGATACTGAACTTGCACAGGGGGCATGTTGCGTTGATGTGCAGCCACTTGTCGATGCAGGCACAGTGGAAATGGTGGCCACAAGGGAGTTCACGCAGCTCTGCACCATCATCGTATGCTGAAATGCAAATGCAGCACTCCTGCATTGACAAGGTGAACAATGAATGGATGAATTATCAGAGTAATATCATAAAGCGCCACCTATGCTAACGATACAGCATGGTGCATAGACTTCATAAAATTCTTATGCAACAACTGGCTTATATAGGTTGGCAGCATTGGCTGCAATAAATGTTCCTGCCGGGAGTTGGAAGATAAACCAGGTAGCGCAATAACAGAAAAGTAGTGCGGAAAACAATGTTATATCCTGGAGTGCACAGGTTTTACAGAAGCATGAATGCAGAGTTCCCTATCATGAGCCATACAACAAGCAAATGGTTTAATGCTCGTAATTCTTACCGATGAAGACTAAACTTAAGTCATGCATGGGCTAACATATTTTCCCAAACCAATAACTAAGTGCACCAAAGCCAAGTATTTCATTAGTATGAGCTGACCAAAACAGAATAATGGTTTTATTCCATCCCATTGACTGGACATGATTCAGTCATGATGAATGATGAACGAAACATACTACATGAGATGGTCCAAAGTATAATCGAACAGGTTCAGAGGTGCAGCAACTCATGCATTGTTAGGGCCAAGACATGCATGACCAAAAGATGAGGACATGAAAACTTACTGCATCTTCAGCTGCAAGTGCTTTCTCTATAGGTTGGTTGGTGCCACACTCTATCATTATTCCACCAGAAGACTCAGTGGCATCAGCAGAATCCTTTTCAGGTTCATCCACCCTACGGAATTTGTATTTCGGAATTTGCCGAATGTCATCTTCAGATGCTCCTTCCTGATTTTGATAGTATGGCAAAGAAAGGTTAACTAATTGCAAGACTGGCATACGAGTGTTAACTGCTCACAGTTAAGTCTGTAGGAGAATCAACAGTATGACACAGAACTGGATCCGTTGTTCTAGATTATATACGTAGCAAGCATCTATAATTGTATCACCGTATTTTACATACTTGAAAGCCATACCTGATCAGAGACAGCATACAGAATTGCTATAATGCAAGGGAGGCAGCAACAAACGGCAATACCAATAATGCAAGCCAGAGCGACACAGAAAACAACAAAGAACACATCAAACGCCAGAAAGACTATGCAAAGCCTGCAAAGCAAGACATAACAAAAACATGTTTATGATACCGAACAGAAGAAATAAGGAAAGTTGAAAAGTGGGATATCACTTCAAACATATATGTACCAGTATAGTTGAGGTGCATCATGGATAACCTCTTCACCCCCGGCAGATATCCAGTAAAATCCAATTATCCACCATATGAAGGAGAACATTGTATTCGCAGACTCCAGATGCTTTGCCAAACTGCCAGAGTAAACCACAATGATATAATCAGGTACAACTGAACAAGACATAATGGAAATATTGCATGCTGACACATGAACACTCGTATATGGAATCACATGATGACTATTTAAATAGACACATCATGAATACACCAACCAATGTGACACTAATAATCACTGCATGTTTTAACGAGCAGAAGAAAGAGGGAGACATACAAAACGTGTCATAAAAACAAGGAAGAGAAACTTATGCCAGCATGATCGCGGATAGTAAAATATAATGCTATTATCAAGAGCACAACACTAGAATCTTTGAACCCCCTTCGGTAGCAGAAGTACACCTAAACAAGATGAACGGGACATAACAGACCAAACTAAACTTCACAACTGTATTTAGAACTCTGTACCATGAATCCACTCCACCTTCCTTGCTTCAGCCACATTTTTTATTCAGCACTGAACATTGCAGATTAAGAAACCATCCATGGAACCTACAAACATACTGTTGCAGGACTATAACTTTTGGGGGTAGAGAACTGTATAATACTGACACGGCTTTTATGCAATGGTCTGTCTTTCCTTGTAGAATGGCGCACAGGCACTATATCAATCAAAGTTTCTTTTTTGCGGGTGTATATCAATCAAAGTTATCACTACCGCGGCTATGGGCTACTTGACGAAAAATCAATTTTAGGGATTAAACTTTCATAAACCGGTTTCGCTGAACTTTCGAGGTAACTTGAAACAACCAGGGTTGTGCCTAAACAGCTTAGAAATGTCCACTACTCCTACTTGTCAAATCCCTCCAATTACCTGACGTAATCGGTGTCGCGACCACGAAGATGGTGCTCGCTGGCATCCTCGTCGCTGGACGAGGACGAGCCGTCGCTGCCCCTCTCCTCGTCGGCGGGTGCTGGGGCCCCGCCGCGCTGGCTTCGGCGCATCCGGTACTCGACGGCGACGCAGACCATGTGGACGACGCACTGCAGGGCGTAGCCGGCGACCCAGGTCCGGAGCGGCATGGGGGATTTCTCGTTGCGGCTGAGCACGAGCACGACGGCGGCGACGGTGATGAAGGAGATGTTCCAGAGGAGATCGAGCGCCACGACGGGGCGGGAGTAGGCCCAGTCCGCCTGCCGCTCCTCGAGGTGCTCGGCCGCCGCCTCCCGCACGAGCATCGACGGCTCCCGCATCGCCCGCCGCCCGCTGCGGCGCAGCAGGCGCGCGGCGCCGCGCAGCGACGGCCGGCGGAGCGCGTTGCCCCGGCGCTGGCCCCCGCCGCCGGCGCCGGCGCCGAGCAGCGGCGCCGAGTCAAGGAGAGCGTCGCCGCGGCTGCTGGACATCGGGGGAGGGAGGCCTGCGAGATCGAGAGAGGGGAAGAAGTCTATTTCCACGGGGGGAGGGAATTGGGATGGGTTGGAGACTGGAAGAGTCCTTTCTCGTTTTTCCCCCTTTTCCTCCCCCGGTTCTATGATGGAGAATGCGGGTTGGACCAGCTGTGGTTGATGATGTCACATTGCAGGCAGTTCGCTGCCGACGAAAAAAAATGGATAATGTACTCGTCCAGTATTGCAATTTGTGATTTATTTTCACCTGGTTATTACTACCTCCGTAAGGAAATATAAGAGCGATTAGATCTATGCGCTCCTCTCCATAAATAAATATAAGAGTGTATACTAGTAGATCATTATTTCTTTATAGAGGGAGTACACATTAAGTTTATGGTGTTCACATTGACTCCCCCTGCGCCACCTCTCCTCTAGGGACACGCCGGAATCCCCTTGTCGCGTTGTCGCGTTGTCGCGTCCCCCCATCCCACCTTCCCTCCTGTCTCGCCGCCGCTCGAGGGGCCGCCGGCGAAGGCCGTGTGCGCTCCGGGGAAAGTGGCGCGTGGGGCGCATCTGGATCCTCGTGTTCGTTTCCTCGCCAGAGGAGGGCAACGCGTTGTGCTGGATCTGGAAACTCGGAGGCGGGCGGGCGGGGGCGGCGGCTTCCCTTTAGCGTGGAGGTGGCAGCTCGGGTGTCAGTCGTGGCGCAAGGTGGAGCTAGGGCTACGTGGTTGGCCTAAGGCTGGGTGGCGACGATACGGGCCCCGATCTGGGCCAGCACGTGTGGGGTGGAAGCTCGATTCTTTGTCGGCGGCCATGCCTAGGCGCGACACCTTTCATCGCATCCCCCTCACAAGGTGGGCGTGGGTGGCTCCTGCACTACGTTGGTGGTTGCTCCGGTGCCCAGATCTGGGTCGTGCGGGTCTCCACCCCACGAGGGTGGTGGTGGTGTGACCGTGGTCGTTCCAGCTAGTGGTGGCAGTGGTGTGGTGTTGGGCGTTGTGGCGGTGCAGGTCTCCAGGTGTGTTATAATTCTCAGTTATCGGACACTTCCCATGGGAGGCGCTGTGGCAAATCGAGTGTAAACCCTGCTCCAACCGGAGCCGGCGATGATGACTCCTATGGGGTTCGTAATCCTCTTTGGAGGCTGATACGTCCATTTTGCATCATGTTTCTTATCGTTATTTATAATGTTTTTATCCATAATAATGCTTTTTGGAGTAATTCTAATTCTCATAATTTACAAGGAACACACCAAGAGGGAGAATTCCGGCAGCTAGAAATCTGGACCTGGAAAAGCTACGTCAGGCCACCTATTCTGCACAGCTCCAAATGATTTGAAACTTTACAGAGATTTTTTATGGATTATTTGATAAATACTGGAGCCAATAAACACCAGAGAAGGGCCACCAGGTGAGAACAACCCTGAAAGTGCGTTATATCGACTAGAGGGGGGTGAATAGGCGATTTTTATGAAAGTCTTCAAAACGTGGAAGTTATGAAGACAAACGATAGAAATAAACCTATTACCATGCAGCGGAAGGTAGACTACACTAGGCAAACCATAGTCAAGTATTCAATGGAGTGAAAGCACAATGACAAATAGCAGCAATGTAGTAAGGATCAGGTAGGAAGATATTATGAAGCCAAACAGAACACGCAGTCACTCAGTGAAGATAAAAGATAGTGCAATCATACAATGACTTCACAAGGACCAACAGTAAGTAAAGGGAAGGAAAGGATGAAACCAGTGACATGTTGAAGACAATGATTTGTTGGACCAGTTCCAGTTGTTGTGACAACTGTACGTCTGGTTAGGGCGGCTAGGTATTTAAACCCAAGGACACACAGTCCCAGACACCCAGTCCTGAACACGCAGCTCAGGACACCCAGTCCTCACCGTATTCCCCTTGAGCTAAGGTCACACAGACCTCGCCCAATCACTCTAGTAAGTCTTCAAGGTAGACTCCCAAACCTTCACAGACTTCGTTCACCGGCGATCCAAAATGTCTCTTGGATGCTCAAAACGCGACGCCTAACCGGCTGGAGGATTCACAGTCCTCAAGTGTAATAAGTCTTCAGATCACACAGACAAGAAGACTTAAGTGATGCCTAATTCTCTTTGGCTCTGGGTGGTTAGGGCTTTATCCTCGCAAGGAATTCTCTCTCAAAGGCTTCGAAGTGGGTTGCTCTCAAACGACAAAAGCCGTACACTAACTCTGAGCAGCCAACCATTTATGGTTGTAGGGGGTGGGCTATTTATAGCCACTAGGCAACCCGACCTGATTTGTCTGAAATGACCCTGGGTCACTAAGGAACTGACACGTGTTCCAATGGTCAGATTTCAAACTCACACGACAACTTTACTTGGGCTACAAGCAAAGCTGGCTTGTCCGACTCTGGACAAGATTCGCTCTCATAGTCTTCACTCGAAGACATAGGTTTTGGTTAGGCATCACTTCGGTCATTCTGACTGGTTCTCTTGGACCCCACTTAACAGTACGGTGGTTCCTATGACTCAACAAAGAAGAAAAAGAACTACGAGAGATCTAAGTCTTCGAGCTCCATAGGCTTCATGTGATGTCTTCTCTTGTCATAGTCTTCAATGTGAATATCTTCATATACCACCTTTGACATCAATGTCTTCATACATTTTTAGGGGTCATCTCTGGTAGGAAAACCGAATCAATGAGGGACTTCTACCTGTGTTATCCTGCAATTCTCACAAACACATTAGTCCCTCAACTAGGTTTGTCGTCAATACTCCAAAACCAACTAGGGGTGGCACTAGATGCACTTACAAACCCACCTGGGCGCATCAGGCCCTAATGTCGCTTGAACCTATGTTGGGTTTTTTTTTCAAAGAGGAGGGGATGATGCAGCACAGCGGCGGTAGGTATTTCCCTCAGATATGAAACCAAGGTTATCGAACCAGTAGGAGAACCAAGCAACGCAACGTAAACAACCCCTGCACACAAATAACAACCACTCGCAACCCGATGTGTTAAAGGGGTTGTCAATCCCTTTCGGGTAACGGCGCCAGAAATGATGCGTTGACGGGAGAGAGTTGTAAATATTGATAGATCGAATGCCAAATAAAATAAATTGCAGCAAGGTATTTTTTGGTTTTTTAATAGATCTGAAAATAAAAGCAAATAAAAATAGATCGCGAAGGCAAATAATATGAGAAAGAGACCGGGGGCCGTAGGTTTCACAAGTGGCTTCTCTCGAGAAAAATAGCAAATGGTGGGTAAACAAATTACTGTTGGGCAATTGATAGACACTCAAATAATTATGACGATATCCAGACAATGATCATTACATAGGCATCACGTCCAAGATTAGTAGACCGACTCCTGCCTGCATCTACTACTATTACTCCACACATCGACCGTTATCCAGCATGCATCTAGTGTATTAAGTTCATGGGAAAACGGAGTAATGCAATAAGAACGATGACATGATGTAGACGGGATCTGTTTATCTATGGCGGTAGATATAGATCCCATCTTTTTATCCTTAGTAGCAATGACACATACGTGACAGTTCCCTTTCTGTCACTAGGATCAAGCACCATAAGATCGAACCCACTACCGGACACCTCTTCACATTGCAAGATACATAGATCAAGTTGGCCAAACAAAACCCAAATATCGGAGAAGAAATACGAGGCTATAAGAGATCATGCATAAAAGAGTTCAAAGAAACTCAAATACTTTCATGAATATAAAAAGATAGATCTGGAGGCACTGAACTGCGAAAACAAAAGCGACTCCTTATTGGTAGAGGATAGGTGGGTCCTGGTCCAACCTAAGTCAGTTCGAACCGATCATAAACTCAAGGTTCATCAATCCCAACAAACACACCGCAAAAAGAGTTACATCATATGGATCTCCAAGAGACCATTATATTGAGAATCAAGAGAGAAAGAGATGAAGCCATCTAGCTACTAACTATGGACCCGAAGGTCTACAAAGAACTACTCACGCATCATCGGAGAGGCACCAATGGAAGTGGCGCACCCCTCCGTGATGGTGTCTAGATTGGATCTGGTGGTTCTGGACTCTGCGGCGGCTGGATGAATATTTCATCGACTCCCCTAGGGTTTCTAAAATATTGGGGTATTTATAGAGCAAAGAGGCGGTCTGAGGGGCACCCGAGGTGGGCACAACCCACCAGGGCGCGCATAGGTGCGCCCTAGTGGGTTGTCCCCTCCTCGGGACTCCCCCAGGTGCAACCAGGGACCAATATCTTCCATCTGGTCCATAAAAAACTTCGTAAAGTTTAGTTGCATTTGGACTCCGTTTGATATTGATTTTCTACGATGTAAAAAATATGAAAAACAGTAACTGTCACTTGGCACTATGTCAATAGGTTAGTACCAAATAATGATATAAAATGACTATAAAATGATTATAAAACATCCAAGATTGATAATAAAATAGCATAGAACAATCAAAAATTATAGATACGTTGGAGACGTATCAGCAACCCCAAGCTTAACTCCTACTCGTCCTCGAGTAGGTAAGTGATAAAAACATATTTTTTGATGTGGAGTGATGTTCATCATGTCATATCATATTCTTTTCTTTATAGCATGTATATTTGGACTTTTATGTGATTCAAAGCAATAGTCTAGTTTTGACATGATAATTTAGATACTCAAGCATATCAACAAGCAACCATGTCTTTCAAAATATCAACGCTAAAATAAGTTATCCCTAGCCCATCATACTCAAACATTGATCCATTCATGAAACACACTCGAATATTAACTACACTCAATACTTAAGCATGGTCATATTGCCTCCTAGTTCATGCTTTTATAAGAGAAGATGGAGACTCAAAAAAATGCATAAAGTAAAGTAAAGGCCCTTCGCAGAGGGAAGTAGGGATTTGTAGAGGTGCCAGAGCTCAAAGCGAAAAATTTAGAGATAAAAACATTTTAGGAGGTGTATCCATCCCACCAACGAAAATGACTTAGAATTCCAAATACTTTCCATGCATAGATATAT